ATCTAGAAAGATCCCACTTCTAACTCAGTGAATTTTCATATCAAGATATGCTGGGACATATCAAAATTCAAAATTATATGGCACACTGCATTTTGCAAAGCTTTTCTGTCATAAATGCCCACTACATACTAATGACCAACTGCTGTTAGTTATTCTGAAAAAAAAAAAAAAAAAAAAAGCAGCTTTAAATTGCTTTCTTCCCTGAAAAAGATCCCACTTCTAACTCAGTGAATTTTCATATCAAGATATGCTGGGACATATCAAAATTCAAAATTATATGGCACACTGCATTTTGCAAAGCTTTTCTGTCATAAATGCCCACTACATACTAATGACCAACTGCTGTTAGTTATTCTGAAAAAAAAAAAAAAAAAAAAAGCAGCTTTAAATTGCTTTCTTCCCTGAATAAGTCACCCCTTTCTTTGTACAGAGACACAGAACAGGCTGGTCTATTCCAATTTCCTTTCCCTGTAGCATTTGCTCTGATGTTCTGACACTTTTTTGAGATCATATCCAATTGTTTCACTGTTGTAGCTACAAACCTAGTTTCAAAGAGGGATGATATAAATATGAATATTTATCAATGCCCTCTTTAAAGCAGGCAGCTCTGGTCAACACTGCTTCCAATTCAACATTTGGCACTGTCATCAGTCCCTTTCCTGAGCTGTATTGCTTCTTATGTCTCAGGTATGTAAGGTATGTATCTATCCTCTGCAAGCTAAATTACAAATCTCTAAGACTCAAGTGCCAGTAAGCCCCCTCCCCAAGGAAATTTTTTTCCCCCTCACATAAAAAGGCCTGGTTTAGTACAAACAGACAGAGCATGACTATCATTCGTATTACAGGACACCCAAACACCTTTAGGAAATGTACAGTGAGGTGGGTTGCAGTGCTTCCCAGAAGAAAAACATGAAAGAGACATCTCAAATCACCTAAAACCATGAAGCAAATGGCAAGAAACAACAGAGCCAAGAAACCTATGAGAAAGAAATCCCATTCGTGAGCTGGGGAGCAATCAGAGGGCATCAGGAACAGGAGGGGGCTTTCTCTGAGACACCCCCGCACACAGGGCTAAGGCAGTTATGGTTCCAGCCAGGCAAATCAGATTCAAATGAGCCAATGTCCCTATCAAGGTGGAATGCAACTACATCCCTTAAGTACCCTGCTGCCACAAAGTCAGTCAGCCACATTTATGAGAAGCCCAAAGGACATCCAGGGGCCATCAATTTTATCCTGATAGACATTTCTTTACATTACCAAAAGACATGCCCTATATGTAGTCCTCTGCCAAAATATGAGAAATCAGGTCAAGTTTCAACTCTTTGCCATGTTCAGCACATTCTCTAAAAGATACTGCTTGAGCTTTCCTGAGCAGTCTGGCTACCAGGCACTGTATGCTGCATGTTACACAAATCTAATCTTATTTCATTATTCCATGCTAGTTCCACTACTTACATCTCTAACCAAAACATCGGTTTAAATGTTACTGATAAGACTAAGCAGACAAGGTACTAATAACCTATCTGTCAATCATTTAAAATTACTCTCAGCAGAATTATAAGCATACCCTCTAAAAATCACAATTTGCATTCTGAACATTTGGAGTGCAGATACCTGCTGCCCTCAGTCCAATGATTTGAAGGCATATTATCCCCCCGTCTTCCCTGAATAATTATCAAGTAGTGTAAAGAGCATCAGGAATAGCATTTACTTTTCAGCAGGCTATCCAAACATAATCAGCCAGTTATCAGTTTAATGACAACCACAAGGAGCAGCACCTTCAGTCAATATAAATGTGCTCCTACCTACTCCAGCTGCTTTCAGCGTACTGTCTTCTTTCAAAATCAGTTTGTCATCATCTTCCAAACTCACTACAAGTTCACCAGTCTACAAATCAGAGAGCCAGAATGCAAAGATAAGAGTAAGAATTTACTGACTGTCTCTGCCCCAGTCGTGTTTGACAGTGCAGGGATCTGCCAGCATTAAGGCATGCAAAAGTGGAAGAATACAGCTAATGCACATACCTTAGATTTATGTGCTTGGTGAATAATCTTCATTGTATCTGAAAGCAAATACAGTGTTTTCCTAAAATAAGGTTTAATAGGCAGTAAGGGCTGAAAGTTGTACTTGGGGAAAAAGAGACAAAGGGATACGGTGAAAAAATTTTTAATATTAACAGTTTTGTGTATTCAACCTAAAAAGGAGAAAACATCTTCATTTCCCAGTTCTGAAGCCACAGTTTTAAACCAGTCAATCCCACATTAAGGTAACGCATTCTGTTGGGCTTCTGTCTGCTGGCTGAATTACAGTAATTAATGACCATCCCAATTTCCAGTCAAAACTTGTTTTAACCTAACAGGGTTTACACATCAGTTGGGGCAGGACAAGCAGCATTTATGCACTGTCAACTACTACAGCTAAATTGATAGGCAGCAAGTGATGAAGACCCAGCAATCTGACCACTTCAGATCATTCCTTGAAATTTTCTTTCTTACGAAGAAAGCACCCATGGTAGAAATTTTATTAAGCAAATCCTTTTTCCATGAACGTGTACAGCCTCTCCTCTTTTTAATGCTAAACCCTCTACAATAATATTTACCTCTGATGTGTTTGTGCATTGTAGCACTTTAAGAAATCATGTTATACAAAACAAAAAAAAAGAAATATCACTTTCCTCTGGCAGTGCGGGCAGGGCTTTGTTAACAGAAGTGAAAAACAAGGGGAAATAATGTCATCACTAAAGCAACCAGATGAGTGCAAAGATCCAGAGGGAATGGAAGTCAGAAGATGCCCATGCAGCACTTAAAAAAAAAAATTAAAAAATTACATAAGGTAAAAATTACTCAGTATTCCCACTGCAGAGGTCACTGAGAAGGCAGCCCTAGCACACTGTAATAATTGCAGTATTAGAAGCAAGACACATTAAATTGCAATTATCAGGATCCATCTTGCATAGAACCATTGCGAAAAGACAAGCAACCACTGCAAAAAGACACTGCAACCATGACAATTTTCTACCACAGCAAATACAATCCAACCTCTGCCTGCTAGTTTTAAGCTTCTCCACTACTTGGTTACATTCCTTTTTCTCTAGTCTTTCCCCAGTCATTCTCTGAACTATTGTCTTGGTTTTACTTGTTCACACCTCCACCACTGGCATCCAGCAGTTCATGGATTTAACTGTGTCTTCATCTGAGCTGTTAAGTCTGTAACTCTGTTACAAAGGTGAAACTGCAGCCTCTTCTCATCCTAGCTCAAGCCTTATGTGCCCTCAATAGCCTTTGCTATTTCATCCCCGGTTATTCCCGTATTTTTATATTTCCTTTTCTGGTAATAGATCTTCCATAACAATAGGTAGGAAATCACTTTCTAAGCTTGATTCTGTGAAGTAGCCACCATATCATTCCACATAAATAGAGAAAAAAAAAAAATTGAGAAGCAGTTTATGAGACACCTTGTCACCTGGGCTGCCATCATCAGTGAAAAGATGGGAATGACAGGATAGGAGGATGAGAAGATTGACTGAGAAGAGTCCCAGACCAAGAATGAGGTGTACAAAGAGATGAAGAGAAAATGAAAATCATAAGCTTTGAGATGTGAATTAAAGCACCAAGCCAAGAGGAAAAACGTGGTGTCATTATATATGATGTTGAGAGAACAAAATGAACAAAGTGTTTGAAAGAACAAAGCTAATTCTGGAGAGCAGGAAGATGAAACAGGCAAGGTGAGAGAGACAGGTCCAACTAAGATTTCTGGCACTGCCAAACAAAGAAGGAAAAATCTGACTCTTACTGGCACTATTCATGCAGAAGTCTCACTCATCACCAGAATAAAAGACAGACAGCTGTATGATTCACAGCCTGAGGGGAAGGTGAGGAACTTGGCTTTGAATTTTTGGTGTGAACATTTCCATGCAGCTAGCACTATCCCACTAAAAGCAGGCCTCCACTAACTGGTATAGCAGGTTTTAAAGTTCTGCAGTATTTTTCACCCATGTTATGTTCAGTCCTACACAGCACAATCACATGCTCAGCCACAACCTATGCCTTGGGAAAAAATAAACTGATGCTCTAGCAGCAGGAGTAGGCAACACCAAGAACGTAACTGATACCAGCACCCCCAGGTAGGACCCCCTAGCCAAAGCCAGTTATGAAAGCGAGGAATGGCACCTGCAAATTCTAACCCAGTTACCTAGATTTTAAGAATTTAAGTAATATATTAAAAATAATAGTAATGTTCAAGCCCTTGCCACTGACATACCATAAATCTTAATCCCTAACTCTTTTTCTGCTTTCATTCTGCACTATCTGCTTCACCATCAGTGAAAACACAGAATGAAATGCTTGGCTTTTTTTTTTTTTTAAATAGACAAATAGACTCTATTACCATCCACATGTATTAAGTAGACTCCCCATCCAATTCTTTGAATCACTTTAGAAGAAAGAATCTGTCCACTCCAAAAACGTGGGAAACAAGAAAATTACCTGCAGCGAAACTCCAAGGGAACATTCAAAATTGCCAAGTTTAGGAAAAGATATGTTACTGACATCCAAGTTAGCAAATGCCAAGAAAGGAAGTAATTTAGTCTATTTTGAAAGTATATTCTGAGTATATTCTGTCCCAAACAGATGAACTGCACATGCTCATGCTAACCTTAACACAAAGGAAGTACACAGATAGCTTTGCATTAGAGGATAATGTCTGCCTAAATTTCACACCAGGCTATTTCATTCTACCAGCTTGTCTTGAAGAGCTTTCCTAACTACTTTGAGCAAAATTACTCTGCTTCTCTTATATCATGTGAATTATTTAAGAATATAAGTCCTAAGCATTTTCCATTTACTGCCTTCATCTCCCACCTCACCATCCTTTCTGACTTCACAATTAGTAAATAGACACTGAAACACATAACCACACAGAGAACTACAATTTCAAAGCATTTGAAATCACAAGCTTCTCACTACAGTAAAAACAGCATTAAAAGGCACTTATAAAAGTAATAAAAAATACCTAAAACCATCAGTACCAATTAACAAATAATGTAAGACATGCAGCCTAATTCATTAATTAATTCACTACAACATTAATACAGAACTTCAAAATAATGGTCAAGTTCTGCAGATGCAATCCCAGTGGCACAACCCCAGCTGGACAGTTGCAAATGTAGCGACATTGCTACAAGCATGAGTATTTGAGGGCAGTTTTCCTCTAAATTGTACAGAAAGTGATATAAAATATTATGTCTTCATTTTACAGGAATTAAAACAAGAAAAAAAAAAAAAAAAGCACGTACCGTACTTATAATTTTTGAAAGGAGGAGGAAGTCCTGATCTTGAAGGTACATCTATTAAAATAAAAGCACCAAGTTAAAACAAAGTTGGCCTTTTTTTTTTTTTTTATTTCCATTATTTTATGCATGCCTCCTGGACATTCTTTGCATCAAAAGAAATCAACAACACAGGAGACTTGTTTGAGCATAAATTATGAAAACATAACCTCTGGCTCAGGTTCTATAGTTACTCCATATCTGATTAACATCAGCTGAGCATGAAGTCCCTCTGAACAAAACTACCCATGAGGACAGAGAGTCAATGCAATTAGGATGTGATTATGGGAGTTTGATCCTTCAGGAATCTGCCAGGAACATCCTGTCAATGCTTTGCACAGCATCTCTCTCTACCTTACACAAACACTGACCAACTGATTTGTTCAGTAAACACAGCCATCCAAACCAAAGCATGCAAAGCCACAAAACAGAAGTCAAACTGTAGTAGAAAATTAACTCTTTAGCTGCATGCAGGACAGCCTAGAAGCAACTGCAAGAATGCTAACACCACCACATTCCCTGCTGACAGTGTTCCCAGTGACTCCAGGGATTTAACGAGGACCTTGGAAGGCTGAGCCACCTGTGGCAAGCTTGACAGCAAGGCAGCTGAAACCATAATTTCATCAGTAGTTTAACAATTTATCTCAAACTCTCCTTTCAGGCAGATTACAGCAGAGGAAGGAATAGAGCTTTTGGACCAGAAACAGCACTATCCACCTGCAGAATGAGGTTCCAAAAGGTCTTGTTCAAGACACTAGCTTTGTCTCCAATAACAGCAAGTTGCAATACTGCACACATCAAAACCAAGTTTCTTAGCATTGTTTTTTATTTTATTCTTTATGGTAGCAGCTCTACCATAAGTTCTGAAAGTGCCTGTAGTTTTCTAAAAGCATCCTATAGATCTTGATGTGCCCATCACCAGAAGCATGGAAGTTGCTAGAAACAGAGGAGAGGCATGAGGCCCAGGGAACGTCCTAGGAGTTACTCAGATGTTATCAGCTGTAACGGTTCCAGGCTTGTTTAAGCTGACTTCATTAAAAAAAAAAAAAAAAAATTTAAAATCACATGTTATTCTGCACCCTTTGAACATCTCTGTTTAGGTGTGTAGACATACCTGCAAGATCAGGGTAACACCCTAACTACTGACTCACTGCCTGGGCCAGCTGGCATTAATTAACATTTAGATGCACTGTCACTTTCAACCAGCCTTCTAAAACAAAGCCTGTAGATGAGTAAATCTGCACCATGAAGCTCAAGATGGAGACAGAAACTCAGAAGCAAACATGCACAGTGAGACCTCACAGTGTCAAAAACAATTTTTCAAGATCCTCTCTTCTCACAAATAGCAAACAGACTTGAGTTCCCACATTCCACATATTGGGGTAGTTCCCAAGGATCAAACGCTCTCCAAATTCTACTAATTTATTGTTGTTAATTTATGAATAGCTGCCTGACAGCACCACTCAAGGCACCCAAGGCACTGAGCCAAATGTAGCAATGCCCTCCTCTCTTTTTGACTAAACATGGGATTTGGGCAGGGGGAGCAGTCTATCCAAATTTAGGCATGGCACACTGACCATAGAAGCGCTTATTAACTCCAGACCTCTCATCCAAGGGAGGAGAGCACACAGGGGATGTAAACACAAATCTGGCATCTTTACTAAAGCCACAGAATTCCCATTCACTTGCTCCCCTCCACCTTCTTGTGTAGAGCAAGCAACGCCTGGGACTGAATCGAATTAAGAAGACAATCACCCCTTACCCTTCTGCACAAAAGCAATGAACTGATTTACTGTCTGATCCAAGTCAACTCCATGATACACCACAGGTCTGAAATTCCGGTGCTCAAAAGAGCGGACAAGACGAACTGTGATGGTTGAGCCTTCTGCTGACATGAGAATTAATTCTGAATAACCTGGAAAACATTAAAGAGAGGAATTACTGCCTTTCCTCACTGTACAAGCACAGCTAGAAAACAATGTGCAGGTGGGCCTCACTCAAAGATTAAAACATGGTGAGAAATCAGCATCATTACATCTTTCAGGACTTCACTTTCAGCATTTCTACAGAAGCAATAACACAATCTCAAAACAAACAAGGGTTATTTAGGAGATTATTGATGCTTCACACCAAATAGTTCAGTATTTGTACATTTGCTGCATACTACAGCACCAGACTCCCTGTGAAACACCCAAAACCCCTATGGAAAAATACAAGCATGTTGTTTGGATTTTAAGTGACTGAAGACTAACTGCTGGGTGAGCAACCTTGAGCTCTGAAAGAATGTACTAACATGAAAAAAACCAAAGCTTTTTTAATAAACTCATTTGTAAAGAGCATAATACCCTGAAAAATGCCTAAGCTCTTACACAACACTCACTTTCACCGCTCTACAGGAAGTGGAAAATCCTCCCCTACATACACATGCAAATAATTCTCCTGGTATAGTACTACATAATTAAAAGGGTTGATTTAATTTATAATAATAGGTCTCTAGTATAACTCTACAGGGCTTATACTACTTGAACAGAGAGCAAAGCCTACAATCCAATCACCTTATCACCCAGTACCCCACTTCAAACAATCCCACAGTTGTTCTGTTGGGGTCTCTCCACAGGAAAACGAGCTACTTCCTACCTCATCAATCTCCTCTGGTTTTGGTGATGGGTAGTGCTCAACAACCTCACTCTCTGGTCACAGGCTAAACTGCCGTGGCTGCCGCAGTAAGGCGCAAGGACTGCGGTTCAAGCACTGCAACATCAGCTGGGGTACAGCACAACCTCTGCTTCTCCTACCCCTTCACAGACATTTCAGTCACTACTTCCAGTCCTGCAAGGACTCTTCTCTTACCTGTTCACGACTTTACATTCTTTTTTTGTATCGTTTTAGTCTTTTTGGGTTTTTTTTATTGCTATGGCAGTAGACACTTGGACAAATTATGCTGATATCCAGGTACCTCTCAGCCTTTGCTGTATTTGTGCTAGCTGCACCCTGACAAAGTAAACCAGAAATATTTTTTTTTCAAATACTTTCTGCAGAATGGCGACTGCATCACAAGGTAGCTTGCTTTTACATCCCCTTGGATAATAAGTCACGAGCCCTAATTCCATTTTCATTGCAAACAAGCTGTGATACACAAATATAACATATCAATCAAGAAAAGCATACTTTTCACCTGAAAATAACCAGACTTATATTAAACAGCAAAGATGTACATTTTCATGATGCTGTTCCAACAGGGGCTTGAGATGTGGAAAGCACAATACAGAGTAAAGAGGGGGCAGCACGGAAGAACATTGTGGGGATGTCGATTTGGGAGCACAGGCTCCCACAGTTAGAAATCAATGATTTTCACCTTTACGTACAGACCCAACAGACCGATCCCAGCAGGGCTGAGACCGGGCACGGCCCAGCGCCTCCTGAGGGGCAACATGGCAGCTTCTCCCCGAGGTGGGAATGGTCAACACCTCTTGCGAGGAGGCGCCT